CTGACAGACTTAAGGCACCAGCAGCAATATGTTCTCCCTGGCTTTTTAATATCCTTTCCTGCTATGGATTTCTTGCATGCTGTTCTTTAGACTGTGTGGTGTTATTCTTGCTGATCTTTGCATCTAAATCTTGATTTGCTTTTATGGAGATAGTAGCTATGGATATTTTCATTATCTGTAACCAGCTGGATATAGGAATGTTTACCACGTACAAAGAGGTGGAGTGGTATTGCTGGCTTTATGTCTAAAATGTATAAGCTCTTAAGGTTAATTATTCTTTGCACAATATTTGTGTCTAGGGGCATTTATAGATGTGCTCTGGGAGGTGGGGTACTTTAATTAGAGAGGCTCTTGAGCCTGTCTTCTTAAAGCACCTGGAGTGTCACGTGTATCCGCGTCCCCACACTGAAAAATGGCGGTGGGGGGGTGCTTTAATTAAAGCTCATCAAACAAGCTTTAGTTAAAGTACCCCCAGCACCATTTTTCAGTGCAGGGATGCTGATACACATGACACTGGAGTCTGCTGGAGCCACGACAGTTACCACACTCTGGCTGACTCGATTAATCAAGTCAGCTCCGAATATGCTGTAATTACAGCACATTGGAGCAGCCTTTCTGCGCGTGTATAGGCACCCTAAAAGCCCCATCTGAAATCAAGAACCCATTGGGTTAAGTTCTATATGTATTCATGGTATTAGAAATCCCCTGCCCCACAGCATTCATACTCCAAATCAACAAGATAAACAAAAGAAGGGGGAAAAGGAGTTATCATCATTCCTGTTTTACAGAGGGTGAGGTCCAGAGGGATTAACAGCCTAGTTAACAAAGATCTTTAGGCACCTGGGATTCAGATAGGTTAGTGATTCTCACATTTTTTAGACTTAAGGCACCCTTCAGACAATGTCAGTTTCTAGCTTTCACTAATTTTTTGACTACGGAAAAATAAAAGAGCAATTTTTTGTTGCAAAGAATCAAAAAGGCCACAATGGAGCAGAATATTTTCTATACTATGGATTCCTATTCTCAATCTGTGGTT